GTGTTTTTCCATCACCACTTCTTTCTCCTCCGTTCACCATTAACTAGACCCTCAAAAAAACCTTCCCATTTTCCCATGCAGAGAGAACCTGGCCTACGGAACTGCAGCTCTCTATCTCCCTACGCAGCCTCCCGGCTTAGGAAAAGGTCTAGCCCAAGGGAGGCAGCCTTAACGTCCCTCCCAGCGCCCCAACACCAGTGATCCACTTCCATTTATTCTTTGGTCCATGATACACTCAGCAAATTTATAAATTTGTAAATTCAGGGAAGAGGCCAGGCTTCCGCTTTCATTGTGCTAAGCGAACATAGCCACAAGCCCCTGTCTCTCCTCACCAGCAGTCCTGATTCCATAGTAGGGATTCTAGAAAAGTTCACTGATTGGTGGGCAGCTAGATGCGTGCACTGGGCTCTCAGATGTCAGCAGCTGGCTCCCCTGCAGCCAGCATTTAGGAAACAGCCATCCACACTGCCTGGCTCTTGGGTTTATTGCCACATAACTCCCGCTGTTCCTAAAAGGCTAATCGATGAGGGCCTGCCCAGTGGCCACTCAGACTAATGAAATCATGCAGTGGCTTAAGAGCAGCAATGCCTCCCCCACCACCTCCAAATAAAATTAGAGGCAAGTGACTGCCGGAGAGGCTGGAGATGGAGCAGCTGGCACACAAGCCCCCATGGAATGGCTTTACCCTCCTGGTCCTCAACCCCAGCCTTGGAGCAAGACTCAGGCAAGTGTTTAGGGATCAGGGTTCTGTCTCTCTTTTGGAGTGATTCCAGCTCAAAGGGAAGAGGTCAAGGTCGTTGAACCAAATATGCCCCCTAGGCAGCCTGAGACCCTGTACCAGCTCCCCAGTGCTTGGGATACCAGTTAAGGAATTGCTGCTTTTCCCAGGAAACCACTGCAGTCTCAGGGGCCAGCTCAGGTGAGAAGCTGGGCCAGGCCTCTCAACCCTCCTCCTGCTGTGTTCAGTGGCAGGAGGCCTCTCTCCCATCAGGACCTGGACTTTCATGGCTTGCCTTGCTGCCATCCCTGTAAGGGGGTGGAGGGGTGTCTTTTCTTTGGCATGGGTAACAGGGAAAGGGCCGTCTTTCCCCACTGCCCACTGACAATGGCCACTGACTGACAGACCACGCTCTAGGTGCAGCCTCACCCAGTTTGACCTAGCTCTTGCTACATCCTCTGTGGCTGGTGCTATACTCAGAAACACTGGGCAGAACAAGACCAAGTCGGGAGCTCAGAAAACTCCCAGTGTGGAAGAGGAGAGCCCAACTAGACAAATGATCAAAGTAGGATGACATGCACAGCAAGAGGAGGGGGGCTCAGAGGTGGTGAGGCCCGGGCAGACTCAGGAAGACTGAGGCCAGGGCCACATCCGCTCAATAAAAATCACCCCACAAACTGCATAATACCTTCCTGTGCTCAGCCCTGTGTGTGGCTATAGCACAATAAGGCTAAGCAGAGACTCACCGTTCAGAGCTTCTGGTCCAGGAGAGGGGAGTGGCCTGTGTGCCTGCAGGGCATATCTGCAATGTCAGGTTTAACATGAGCTCAGAGCCTCTACCTGGGAGTGACCCCTGGAGAAGGATGGAAGAAAAGGGCCAGCGAGGGAAAGAAACCATCACTTAGCACAGCTGACCTGGGCTAGGTTTTCTCACACATCAACTAACCTGCCCACTGCCCCAGGGACAGCTGTTATGTTTCCAATTGTAGAGATGAAGAAAATGGTATAGAGAAATTTAAGAGTTCCATGGCTCTCCAGCAGGTGGCATGGTGGTTAAGGCACTAGACTCCCATGTAGCCAACCATGGTTCAAGCCCTAGACCTGGTTGCTTGCTTTCTCACTTTCCATTTCTCTGTCTCTCTCTGGTCATATTAAAATAATAATAATTAATCAAATTAAATAAATAATTCTTTTTAAAAAAAAAAAAAAAGAAGAAGAAGAGTCCCATGGCTAGAAGGAAGTGGGACGAGGATATGAACCCAAAGTCTACATTCTTTCATCTAACTATGCTACTTCTCGGTATAAGTCTACAATCAGAGATAGACACTAAAAATAGAGGGAAAAAAAAAGTAAAGAAAGAATGCTAGACAAGAGCCCTGCATGAACAGTAAACAATCAGCTCCCAACCCTTTGACAAAGAATTGGGGAGATGAGATAATAAGATTTCCTCTCCAAAGTTCAGTGCTGTCAGTCTCCGCTGAGCTGGAACAAAGGTGGCTGGTAGTATTTCAGCTCTCCTCAAGGGAGCCACACAGCAACTCCTGGGCATACGGGAGCCAGACGGGGTATTTTGAAAATAGTTACTCACAAAGCTTCCAAATTTCCCTAAAACTCCTTCTGTGCTCCAAGTCAGTCCTCCCCTCTGATGAGGAACTCGACCTAACTCCCAGGGTCTGGCACGCCTTCTTCTCCTGGCCCACAGAGCAGAGCTGAGGCACCAGAGCATCCAGCCCAGAGAGGCCTATCCGGGTACTTCCACTGCATTCTCGGAAGCCTCCAAGTCACTTTAGCTAATCAGATGAAGAAGCTGAAAGAGAAAATGGCGCAAGTATTAAGTCCAGGGAAATTACATTTGTCAGCTTTGCACATACAATTACGCTAACCAAACGGTTGGGATAATGCAGTCACAGACTGCAGAGCTGAGCTCCTCTCTTTCTGTTTCTCTCTCACTCTCTCCCTTTCTCTCCCTCTCTGGTTCTCCCTTGGGTGATAATTTAGTTAGAGGTGAGGAGGTGCAAGCAGGTTTTGCCACCTTCTCTCCCCAAAAAGCCCCAGGTACAGACCGGCAGGGTCCCGGGGCCCCATGGCTCTGACTCAGCTTCATTACCACCCTATGCTCGTCCTCGGAGCTCAGTGCTCTATAGGGAGGGCTAAAGAGAATCAGCTCAGTTAACCTTGGACCCAGTCCCACGTTTCTAACTTGTGGAACCTTGGCATCCAAACCACAGCCTTGCCTGAGTTGTTGGGTGACAAGTAGATTTACCATTTTCTGAGTGCCTGTCTTTTGCCAAAGGAGGTATAAAAGCAATGAACAAGATACGGAGTTATAGAAAGGAACCAGGGCAGCTGCACAGGGCCCTAGCTGGTTTGCACTAGTGAGCTGTGGTCCTGGGGCCATCCTGCCTCTCCCAGTCTTCCCTCCTGGGGCCATCAGCAGACTCACCAGGAACAGAGGTCTCACAAGAGGGGCTCATGTGAAGACAGACAAGGGCAGACACGCCGCTGTTTACAGAGCGTCTAGGTTTGAAGTAGACAGTCTCTGAGTCTTTTCGCGTCCCCAGCTCCATGATTCTTGGGGCTGAAGGGCTATGGCGTCAGGAAGCCA